CCTCACCAGCAAGCACCTACAACCAGGCCAATAACCCCGATGATTAACAAAATCTAGCACTAGAGGGAGGCTAAACACATGTTCTGCTCTCTTTGGCCTTTTCAGCTTCTCCAGACATTAAAACGCAGGTGATTTAAAGCACGCCCAGCACCAGCAGGCAGAGCCCAGCCTCTGAACAGGAGAGGAGCTATTTAAGGCAGCAACCCCCACTGGCAAAATTCATGCCCTTTCCTCCCCAACTATTTGCCAAAATGCGTACCCAAAACTAAGAAATAAATTTTAAAAAACAAAACCAACCAAACAAAAAACCCCCAACAATTCCTGTGTCCTGGCTGTTCCTTCAGCCAGTGAGTCAGAGCCCACAAAGGCACCGCCACCGCTCACAGGGAGCACAGTCAGACACAGAAACACCTGGCAGCCTCTTCCCTAGCAAGGATGAGGCTCTCAGTTCTCACACCTATCAACACATTCCCACCTTCTCCCAGGCGCCAGCACCGAGGAGAAGTGAGACAGGTCTCCTCTCCTCGGAACAGCCGCCAGGAAGGCGCACACGCCTCCAGAACGCCCTTCGGCTCTCCTCCTTCCCGAATTCCTTGGCAATAGGAGTTCGAGCCCTTGGGTTGTTGTGCACATCACAACAGGAAGATATGACCAGTGAGTTCGGTAGGTCTGAATGTGGGAATAGTTCCCTGTAGCTGCAGCCCGTCCAAGCATATATGGTTATAACAAGAACTGGTATATTAAAGTTCTTTATATTGCACTTCATGCAGCTATTCAAAGCCAGATTGTTTCCTCACTTTAACCCCCGACCTAAAGCCACTCCTTGACATCCACTTTGCTATATCCCAAATTGTTCCTGTGTTCAGGCACTGATGGTGTTTAGTCATTAATTTGAAGTTATTACAGTAATGAGGCTCTGGGATGTAGCAGGCAGAATTGCTCTGGGACACAGGAGATCTCAGTCTTATTTTTAGCCTGCTACTGGTCAGCCTGGTGACCTAGGCAAAGCACTTTCCCTGCTCCAGCTTCCTTATCAGGAAGAGAGTGGTAATTCTTTTGTAAAGTGTTTTGTGGCCTGTTTTTACACGCTGATAACAGCTGGGGGAAAGAATTGCCATCCCAGCTCAACACAATACTCTCCTTCCCATGCTGTGGTAGCATCTCAGATCCCTCCAAAAAATCAGATCCATCTTCACATGCAGCACATGCAGGTAATTTACAAAGATTTGTAAATAGATGTTTCCCCAAGGTAGCCCTTGGCAAGCTGGTAGCTCAGGGTCACATCTGCTTTGAGCCACCCAAATTCTGCCCCAACATGAAATGCTGGGTTCTGACCCTCACCTCTAAAGAGAACTGGTCATTTCAAAGCCAGGAGCACCCATGACTCCTGAGACAGCATTCATGGACAGGGCATGGGACAGGGACTGGCGTTTCACACAGCTGTGCAGCGCTCAACCCTGCCTGGCAAGGAAGGAAGGAATTGCCAGAGCCATGAGTGAGGGTCCCTCTCTGTGAGCAAACAGGGCACTTGAGAGGTAGCTGATGGGAGTTTTTCCCTTTTGCTTTCCCTGGCCTGGGCAGATGCCTGTTTTGAAACTAGAAGGCAAACACATAATAAAAATCTGCCTCCCTCCCTCCCAGATCTATCTATTTCCCTTTGACAAACAGTGATTTCATTTTTCTTCCCGTCCAGAATTTTTTTTTTTCTTTCTCTTTTAAACTGAGCCCAGGCCAACGTGGCAAAAGGCTCTTTGCTCATGTCCTTATTTGTCAAACACACCACCACCACGCCCTCACCACCATTCTGGGAACAAGTCCTTGCCTTCCCCGGCTGCAGCCGAAGGGGAACTTCCCAACACAACTCCCCCCCAGCCCAAACACACTCTTTTAAAAATAAATATTGCCTTTTCTTTCTTTCTTTCTTTTTCTTTTTTTTTTTTTAACGAATTCCAGTTAATAAGAAAAGAGTTGGAATTTACTTCCCTTTTCCTCCCCACAGCCCTGCTGTGAATCCAAATATGACGGATCTGGATGGGAAAACAGAAATTACAAGAAAATGCCAGATCTATCACAAAGGTATTTCATGACCCAGCCCTCTTCCAATTTCCATCAGAGCATAAGTCAGATACTTAAGTACCTTTTTGGATCTGATCCTAAGTAGCCAGTTCCACTGTCCAGATAGAGATCCAGAGATAAACAGGTCCATGAAAACTGGGTATTATTATTTTAACTGCTACTCCTAAGCTATAGCTTAAACTGTAATAAGCTGTGCAGCTTTCAGCCCTCTGGTAACAGTAACACACAAATTGATAGTAAACTAAACATTTATCCTGCTGTCCTCATCAACTTAACACCTAGTATAAAAAGCTTTACCTGGAGCCCCACAGCACACACACTTCCTAAGCTGTGATCAGCACTGTGCCATCCAGAGAGAAATTTGTGATGTAAAATGGCTGATTTATTGGAACAGATGAATTTCAAACTCTGGAGTAGACCTGGAGGGCTCTCACCAGGTCCACAGGGGCCAAACCACCCCAGACAGCAGCCTCAGATGTGGTCAATGCTCAGGAACTGGGTCTGCTGCTGCAGCACTTACATTTAGCAATGGGGAAACTGAGACATGGAAATTACATAGTTTGGCATTGGAGAGCAAAATCAGCCTCTTGAAGCCCAATACAACACATGTTTATGAGATCCCTGATTTCAGACAGCCATATCCTCACAGCAGAAGGAACACAGTCACCGTTCATTTTGCTCCTTTAGCACAAGAACGACTGTCCAGAGTTGAGAAAATTACTGTGTTTGAGGCACAAAGGCATTGGGCAGCTTTCTCTAGAACGATCTGCCCTTTTCCTTCTCTCTTGAGCTTTACATCTTGCTTTAGCCTGACTTTTGCTGCTCCTGAAAGATAAGGAACTGATCTTGCAACACAAAACCCTGCTGCCTCCTGACTTTTGCCTGACTTTTGCCTGCTCCCGATTTCCTACAGAAAATGGAAGGGAAAGAGAAGGGGAATAGGTGACCAGAGAGCACAGATGAAAGGCAGGGAGCTGTGTTTGCTGCACAAGAGTATATTTGGGGTGGTGACAGGCAGGACTGCTCAGGTACAACTAGTAGGGTCCCCTCCCTCTGAGCAGGATACCCTGCAAAGGAATCCTGCTCCAACCAAGCTCTTGCTAAAACCCAACACTGAACACAGCTCCAGTCCCAGTTTCCCAGAGAGAAAGGGTGTGACAAATAGCAATTCCATGAGCTCAGAGGGAAGAGTTGTCCTGCTGAGTGGTTCCACCAAGGGGCACATCCCTCTGACAGCCTGGAGTGGCTCAGGGACGTTTTTGGAGCCACAGCAGGAGCGAGCTCCTTCCAATAAACACACAAGGTCCTCTCCTTGGGTGACCTGGGAAGGGGGAGGCCTGGCCCTGGGGAATCCTGTGAGGCACCAGGAGCCCTCTCTGCTGGGCAGGCTGCTGTGCAGCAGCATGCAGGCAGTGCCCTGCCTTTGCCAGGAGCCTGCTGCTCCACGGCTGCCCAGGGCGCTCTGGAAGCTCCCCTGCTCCCACGGGGAGCCACTCTTCTCAGAGAGATAAAAGACACAACAACACTTGCTGGGGAATTACTTCATTCCCCCAAGGCTGGGAAAAGCCATGCTCTGCACTTGGCAATGTCCCTGACACTGCAGCCTTTCCTGGCAAGGGAGAGCTCAATCCCCATTAACCCCTTCCTGCTCAAAGGCTGCTTCCAACACAGCCCATGGCAGGAAAGGCTGAGGCTTTGCCACAGCATCTGAACATCTCAGCACGGGCAAGAGATCCCAGTAAGCCCACGGGGGGGCAGGGGGGAATGTTTTGTTTTTCCCAAGGCACAACGGAGACAAATTGACTCTAGAGTCAGTGAGAGGGGTCAGGAACTAAGTCAGTTCCTTTGAATCCTGTTTAATGCCTGCCTGCTGGCCTACTCTCATGTTCAAACCCACTGAGGGATACAGGACTGCCACAATCTTCCAGGGCCATCAAGGGCAGCCTCATGTCTGTGGATATGTGGTTACACAACTCCCAACAGTCTCAAACCTAGACCATGTTCTCTTTGCTCTCACTATTTCCCACAGAAGGCTCTTCCACATCTTTGGAGCCCCAGTGCTTAAAAAATTTCTGAACACCAGCATGGAGGTACTTCTGGCAAGCTCAGCCTCTCCTGTTCCTGCACCAACACCCACACAGAGCTGAAATACAGGCTGATTCCCCAAATATATTTCAAATTTGCAACCAGACCCATCCTCAGCCTTCTTTTTTCTCAGCTAACAAGATAAACTCTTCTAGGCTCCACTGAGAAGATCAGCTCCTCACTCCTCAATCACCTTGAGTGCCTTGTCCCAGAAGTCTGAATGCATTTCTCCAGAATGTGCCTGAGCAAACATAAACCTGGCACTCCAGACAAACCTGCAGGACCTGCACAAAGGTGTTCAAAGTCTGTCCATACTCACTTTGGACATGCCATCATCACCTCATGCATCTTAGAAGTTGCATTTTTATCTGAGTGGCCAATCTAGAAAATCCATGCCAGCAAAAAGAGGGTGAAAAAGGTCTCAATCACATCACTGGAGCCTGGGCCAGGGTTTATTTGCTTCACTTAATTTTAGGCATCTAAACAAAGTACTTTTAGGATCAGATTACTGCCCTAAAGTCTCTCCATAGTCCGTGGAAGGAGATGGCCATTCCAGAAAACAATTCATTCTGGGAAGGTTTCACTCCCATTTGCCATCACAACGACATAAGGCAATTAGTCTTCTAATTCAAGCCGGATGGGAAAAATCCTTTAATAGCCCAGCAAGTTTTGAATGGAAATATTCCCTACTTGGGAAACACAGCTTGCTAAAGCTGACTTGGTTATTCCTGACCCATAATTTTTAACCAGAACTTTGCCATCTCATTTTATTATCATTCATTCACTTCCACAACTTCTGGATCAGTTCTGCACGAATGACAAAATTCTTGTCTTCTTACCTGTACATTGTAAGTAACATCATCCAGAGGGGGTGGGGGAGGAAAAGCACCTTGTGATGATGTGATGTTCCCAAGGTCATCCACAGGAGGGGGTGGGGGAGGAAGAAAGTCCCCTAGGAAAGAAAATGGGAAAACTTTATCATCAGCATTTCCCCACATTATGACATGGATGATCAGGAGGAGCTCCACAATACCTTCAGCTCTGCCCATTGGTTTTGTGGCACAGGACATAATACATTATTTAACCACTAATGCTCAGCTTCACCCCTCACTGCTTCAGGAGATGGCTACACAGCTCAGTAACAGCAGCAGATGGCTGTGGTGCTCAGATTCTACAGCAAAAAAAAAAAAAGTGATGTGCCACAAAGCCTGAAGGCACCAACAAGCAGCTCCACAGATCCAAGTTGCATCTCAAACCTGCCACAGGCAACCACAAACCTGCACTAATGAACATCCCATGCCTAACCTTGCAATGGATCCCATCCAATTCACTTCCCCCGTGTGCTAAATTATGCCAGCTCTTCTTGATGCCTCCAAAGACAGCATCAGCTGCTGTCCAAAAGCAGGGAATCCCTGCTGCAGAAGACACATGGAGGGCTGGAGCTGGAGCTCAGAGTCCAGACCAGTCCATCTCCTGCATCTCCTGCTGCTGGCAGGCAGCCACACTCTGCATCCTCCTCTTCCTACAGGGACTTCATAGGTTCATGTAAAGAACTGCTGGGAAGATCACAGGCTCTTTTCAGTAACAACAGCCATGTGATGGGCCAGGTGCAAGCACACACGAATCCACCTCTCTTAACTCTGGATTTCTACAAGGGGGCTGATGTACAAAATTTCTAGAATTCAACTTGCTCATGTTAATCCCCCAGAAGTGCTGACGGGAAGACAAAGCAGAACATACTGGCTGTGAAGCCATCCAGCTCAGCACAGAGATGGGAGGTGGGAGCAGAGAGAAATTGTCCTTGAGAACTTCATGGGATGTGGGACCACAAAGGAGAAAGAAAACACAGATAGAGCAGCACAGGCTACAGGCAGCAGGACACCAGGCTCTGAAAGCACCTCCTTCTGGTGGAAAAAGAGCATTTGCCATTAGCAGTGGATTTGTCTCCAGGGAAGGCAGCTGCCTGCAATTTGGACCACTTTGGTATGCTTTTATTTCTTCTTATGAAGATTGATGCTGCAAGTAGAGCTCTTTGCTGTTGGCTCTTGTATGTGCAGCATCTGGGATGGAAGGTTTCAGATTAATAAAAGTGTGATATTTCACATATATAGGAACTGTTGCATTTGGAAGGAAATAGGAGCTCCCTGCTTGACCCTCCAGATCTCCATGCAGCATCACACTGCATGCAGGCCAGAGGCCCTCAGCACCACCCCTAAATGCCAAGGAGCAGGCTCCAAACCACCCAGGAAGAAGGTGCTGAGACAAACCCCTGTGTTTGGGCTGCAGCCTTCTGGGCCACCTGTGCTCAGGTTTAAAGCCCTAGGTTCAGCCCAACCCAGCCATGGGCACCAGCTGGGCAGCACTGCCAGCACAGCACTGCCATGCTCTCTGCCATGGGAAGATGGGTCTGCAGCCCTCAAAAGTTTTTCTCTTCTATTTTGACTCACTCTCTGAAAGACATAAACTTCCCCTAGGACTTTCAGAGATGTTATTTACCAAGAAAGTAATTTCTTCCCATTTTCCCCAATATGAGCATGGATGGGACTCAAAAAAACCCCTTCTGAATCCCTAAGAAAGTATCATCCTAAATACAGATGCTCAAAGACAGCTCAAAAACAACATACTGAAAACTAATTTAAGACAATCATGTTGCTCCAATACATAAAATCCCATGAAACCCACCGGCTCATGCTATGATAGAATTCGGGATTGATTTTTTAAGAACTTATGTCCAATAATATCTGCAGTATCCTCCTCATTTTCCTGTAATTAATCCAATCTTTTATTTCGAACCCTGTGAAATATAATACAAAATAAAAAGAAAAGTAGAGAGATTTTGAAATTAATATCTAAGGGGTTAGTTCTAAAAAATGCTGGGATATTTGAGTGCTTCTTAAACTTTTCTCCTTTGCTCTGAAAATGACCCTCCAATCAGCCAACATGATTTTGCAAACAAATTCAACTCCAGCCGACACAAACTTCTCACGATTATGCTTCAGATGATGTTCCTCAGTTAGTCCTGGCTCCGATGCCAAAGACTGATCTCCCTGCACAGCACATTAGTCATACACTCTTCCTTTATTACAACCCTTCAAAACACCTAAGGAAAATCAAGGTAGAGAATGTGCTGGAGGAGATGAGAGAGGGTAAGGGGCAGGTTTTCTGCATAAACAGAATCTGCATCTAGCCATAACTGTTAGAGTAAACATTAAAAAAATACCATTTTTGCCCCTTTGGAAGAATCACTCCTCCTGAAAGAAAAAAAAAAAACCAAAACATTGGCAAGATTTTTCAGAAAAGGAGCAGAAAAAGAGCTCTCTCCTAGAGCTTGGAAGAAAACACTTCTTTGCAGTAGGAGACAGCTGGCTCTACCACATCCCAGCCCAGCTCTGCTGACTCCATCCTGTGTTAGATAAGCTGCTGGCTCCACTCTCCCCACAAGTGGGAAGGTTTTTAGACTGGGAAGCAGAGAGCAGATGCCTGATGAACTGGGGGGACCTTGCAGATGTTTGGCCTTTTCCTGGTCCTCTGTGAACAGATGGACCTTTCTCCTTCACAGCTTTAGTTATTTATTCTGCCACTGCGCCTTCCTCTTTCCCACACACAGCCACAGGACCCGATGCTGTTCCCACTGCACTCACGGGAGAATATTCCCTCGGATGCAGAAGGGAAAGCTGTCAGTGCATTGTTATTATTGGCATTGCTGGAAGTGTCCCTCCGGCAGAGAGGGAAGCATGCAAAGACTAAAATCCATGCCCTCGGCAGTGTATGACTCTAGATGATGTGGGGAATAAACAGGTCTAGGTTTGAGGGACCAAAAGAGGAAAAGAACCTGAAAGCCAATTTACCCTCCCTTTAAGCACAGCGTCCCTGCAATGCACCTTCGGGACCTTCACTCACCCCTGGAGCTTTGCATGTCAGATTTCACTTATTTAGAGCTGGGCAAGCCATGGCAGGAGGCAGGAAAGTCCATGTCCAGGCAGAGCATATCAGTGCCACCCACTGCTGACCACCTTCAGTGTCACAGAGCGAGGTGGGAGCTGTCTGGGCAAGGAACCATCCCTGGTCTGCATGGGTGCACCAGCAGCCACAGCAGAATGGGGCTCTGGGGTTACCAGTTAACCATGGGCTGCTGGAGGACACATCCTACCCTGAGCACTCACCCTCTCCTGACTGATTTAACCAGGTCTTCCCTCGGTGAGTAAGGGATAAGATGGGCAAAAGGCTCATTAGTTTTGATTATTGTTCAGCACCAAGACTAGCATTTTGGTCGACTTTCACCTGACATCAACCTGAACACTTGGATGTATTTCAGGTTATGAGAGTAACTTCACTGAGTTCTGTCAACAGAGAGGTATCAAAGCACCTCCAGAAAGCAATTTGTACTTCAAGGCAGGTGAAGAGATTTGCCTTCCAATGGCAAGTCCCTCCATGGAGGCAGCCCGGGCCAGGACAAGCAACTAAGACACAGCCTGACTTCAGCTCTTACAATGAGAAATCCCTACCTGGTACCATGTATTTAAAAAGAGAAAATAAACAGTCCTTGTTGCACCAGCTACAATTGTGCCATTGTAGATGCACTTGCAAGGTTTTACCCCTCTCCACCCCAAAATTTCCCCTCTTACACTTTCCAAGGAGCTTTAAACATTTCGCTATTGCACTTTTAAGTATACAAATATAAAATTTTTCAAAGCCCTAACAGACACCTACATCAGCACAAACCTGTCAGGGTGAATAAAAACTCACAAAATTCTTGCCACTGGCTGCCTGATGCCTTCTGGGTACAAGTACGAGTTGAGAAAAACATTCTGTCTCATGCAGCAAAACACCATTCTCACTTACAGGCTAACCTTTAAAACTTTTAAGTGCACTTCATTTTTTGCTGGATCAGGCTCATGTCTCAAGTCTTTGTTTTCAGGAGATATATCTGCCAGCCAACAAATGAATTGTAGCACAGTAATTGCCTCCCCCCTTGACAGACACAGTTGTTTAGACAAGAAGATTTGCAGCTTCGAAACTTCTAGACTTGAAGAAGAGCTCACATGTTCAGTAAAAGAGACTCTTTTGGGGAAAAACACAGAGAAATACGAAAAAGCAAACCACTGTATTTTTAACTGAAACAATAAGTTAATGAAACCTATTAAAAAAAAACAAAACAAAACCTGGGCTTACACTGGTCTTCCCAGATCTCTGGCTGACATCTGAAGACTATATGCCAGATGTTATTTCAATTTTCTCCTTCCAAGCGAAAATAAACCTTTCTGATTGTCATCTTGATAATTTCTGATTCTGAAGCTGGTTCAGAATCAGTTTGAATCACGTGAGAAACAGAGTTCAGCCTTTACTCAGAGACCAGACTAAGGATAGTGATGGAGCAAACCCCCAGTGATGTGTTTCTGTTCTGATCCAGACAGACTCCATTTGGCAAAGTACTGAGCAGATAGAGGCATTGCTCAGTCAAGTATTTACCTTCTACTGCAGAAAGCCAAAGCTTTCTACATTTAAACCATTAAGATTTATACCAAAACCCTAATTCATTGAGTTCTAGGCTAAAATCCTGTTGATGGAGGCTACCATGAACCTGTATTCCACAGTGACCATTGCAGGAGCCTGCAGAATATCACAGTATTACTACATGGGCTGGGAAACTTCCTGCTGCAAAGTGACACCACAGGATTTTTATAGAAAACTTCAGCTGGATGTGACCTGGTGCCTCCTAGGTGTGAACATACATCTTACCAAGTTTCCCAAAGTGAACATGTTCCTGTAGCATCTGTACTTAACACACATCACTACGCAAGGAAAACACACAATTAAAATCATGTTTTGGCCCCATCCATGTTGTGAGGAGTCACTGAAACCACATCAGTGCAGGGGAAACTGTTGCATGATGACACACCAGCTCCACAATCCACCTAAATATACCACATTGGCCTGTGATTCTTAAAATAA